CTCCAGGCCTTTGTATATTCACTACTCTCTGCCTGGAATGAAGTGTTTTTTCAAGTCTCTTTACATGACCAATGACTTCTCATCTTTTAAATTTCAGCTCAAATGTCATCTCCGCTGTAAGCCTTCCCTCTCTATCTAAAATAGGACAGCCACTCCTATCATTCTTAGAATTTTGTTTCCTTTATAGCACACATAGCTTTACGTGAATTGATCTGGGGTTTTTTTATGTCAGATCTACCAGACTATAAGCTCCAACAAGAGTAGGAATGAATATGTATTATTATTCACCATTACAAATTCCCAATGTCTAACACTATCCCTAGCATTAAAATGCCTAATAAAATGGGTAATTAGTATTTTTATTTCCCTAATGTGCCATTCCTCTATTCAGATGACTATGACTGCTGCCACCACAACCACCATCACCACCACTGCCACCCACCACCACTCTTACCCCTTGCATATCCTTACTCATCTCTCCTGTCTCAACTAAAACAGTATCTTATTGATGAAGTCTTCCTTTCTTGAACCCACATAGTCTCTCCTCCATTTATTCACTTAGTCATCACTGGCTGCACCTCCACCATAAAAATGATCTTTTTGTATTATACATGAATTTTTTTTTTTTTTTTTTTTTTTTTTTTTTTTTTTTTTGTGAGGAGAAGGCCTGCAGGGAGTTGTTTTTGTTTCACATTTCTATCTTACTATTTACTACTTTGAGAAGCCTTAACCCGAAGAAAAATCTCTTCATTTCTATGTCCTAGGGTACTACTGGGCAAATATAATGCTGTCAGTTAGGTTAACTATAATGACTAACATTTATTGAGTGTTTAATATGTGCTTGACACTCTTCTTAGTTCTATAGTGGGTGAGTGAATGAATAAATGGATAAATTTCTTGGTCACCAACCTCAAAGTGGTCAGTCTGACAGGGACAGAAGACAGGTATACAGGCTAATGCAGAGTAAACACACTCCAAGGCCAAATCAACTGCCTTATCCTGTCCCTCTCTGCCTTCAAATGTTTGAGTATGCTTTTCTCTGAGTCCATAAATGTCAGGTTTCTTCAAACTCACTTAGAATACTTCCTTCGATTACTTACAATCCACTTCCTGCCCTTGGTGCCTGGAAACAATTTCTAGGATGTCACCACAAGCAGTATTAAACTGCCACACCGTTTCCTGCTGTGTGTCTGCATTATCAGTTAAATTGCTTCATATTAACCACATTCCAGTCCACTGGGATCACTTAAACACCAACTAAGATTTAAATGTAGCTGTCAAAGATACTAGTCACCACTGCTCCTTTTATCCTTTGTCTGCTCAGGTTTAAGGCTTAGCAGCCTTCCAGGATATCACCTGTATAACTGGTGATCTTTTCTTTCCTTTGTCAAGTAAATGTTTGGTGTGAGGCAAGACAATGTTCCTCTAAATAAAGTGAAGATGAACTGAACACTTTAGAAAACGTAAGAAACTGTGCCTAGACCAGGGCAAGTTGGCTTAAAAACTTATAAAACTCTTCCTCCTCAAGAGTTCAAGTAGCAAAGTGTTCTTTTAACTCTATGTACACTAAATTAGGATTTTAATTCAGGTCCTAACATATTTCTTAAATGCATTCCATAAACTCTTCCTAAACAATCTGTGTGTCAGGTACTGGGTTTGACACAGGGAACTCAAAGACAAAAAAAAGAGTCCCTACTCTCAAAAAGTTCATGTCAGGCTGGTATGGAAGACAAAGGACTGTATTTAGTGCTATGACACAAGGGGCCACTGAAACAGATGAGGAGGAGGATGCACAGAAGAGGAGCCCCTGGCCTAGGATGGGAGGGAGGATGCAGAGATGAGGAGCCCCTGGCCTAGGCTGGGGAGGGGGATACACAGATGAGGAGTCCCTGGCCTAGGCTGGGGAGGGAAAGGGGGACTGGTGTCAGGGCAGGCTTCTAGGAGATGGTACTGGTCTTAGGCCTATAAACTCCCATTCTTTCACTTTAAAAATGTGGCTTATATGGCCGAAACTGGTTTGGCTCAGTGGATAGAGCCTGTGAACTGAAGGGTTCCAGGTTCGATTCTGTTCAAGGGCATGTACCTTGGTTGCAGGCACAACCCGGTAGAGGGTGTGCAGGAAGCAGCTGATTGATGTTTCTCTCTCATCGATGTTTCTAACTCTCTATCGCTCTCTCTTCCTCTCTGTAAGAAATCAATAAAATATTTTTTTTTAATGTGGCTCATAGTACATCATTGGACAGTTGTGAGGATTTGACTAAATGGTGTGACACAGAGATTGTACTCAACCAGCCTTAACTGGAAAGGAAAAATCTGATCAGGCACCAAATCTCAATACCTATGTCTAGAAACTCAATTGATCATACAGCAGGTACAAGCTTCACAATTACACAGGTTATTGTCTTTAATCACTTTTATTTTTTACTAAAACAATGTTAAGCCCTGTAACAGTTAAATTTTTTGATCATCAAAACATTCTTCTCCATTACCTGAAACATCCAGTTCTCTGGCATTTCTAGTATAAAATATACTTTTATTTTTATAACAGACATTTCTTGGTCTTTTGATAAGAGAATGTATAAAGGAAACTAACAATTACTGAACTTTTAATATTGGCCCTGCAGTCATGGTACTATAGTTACGGTTCATAATGACCCTACAACCATAGTTTTCCCCATTTTATCCTCAGGGCGAATAAGGAGCTTCATAGCTAGTAGACAAAAGAACTGGAATTTGAATCCAGATCTGATTCTACATATCAGCCTGACTGGGCCACATAGCATCAGAGATAAGCAAGAGAAAATGCGAACAGCCACAGTGCTCTCCTGCTTAGAGGGACCTCAGGGCACTCTCTGCCTCCTATTCGCCCACCCCCAAGATTGTCCTAAACAATGGAGCCTGCACACTTAGATTGCACCTCAGCCAGGCCAACCCCTTGAGCATCGTGTCTTCTTTCCTATCTTGAGCTCCGTGTCTTCTTTCCTATCAGGATGGAATGGTCAGCAGCAACCAAAGCTATGCCGTCCAACAAGTAGGGCTGCACCTAACTAGAAGGTTTCCTGGCCACCTGCCCAGGCATCCCCATTCCTACCTGCAGGCAAAGTTGCACAGTCTACAGTCACCGTAAATCACAAGTACTTTTCGTAATTTCTCTCTTCATATTCTCTTTCAGCCTCACCACAGTTAACACATTTCCCAAGCCCAAGTTTTTATCACAAAGCAGTCTAGTTTCAACATCAAGGCTAGTCTTTATATTAATTTACTGCATTAAGTTCTCTTGCCAAGTGCTCAGAGTGATGGGTTCCCAAAACACACTTGAGATATGTATTTAACCCAGAACGTTCACAAGCAAGACAGAGACCCAATGCCCACTTATCTGAACTCCTACTTGGGTTTTCTCTACCAGTTCCTGAGCTTCTGTGTAACAAGAAGGGTAAGCATCCTAACAAGCATACTCTGCAGCTCTAAGGTGGCTTTTGGAAAGTGTGTCTAAGTGCTATTGTAACCCAAGTTTAAAACTCCTCCTTGGAAGCAGGAGCTGCACGTGGAGTGCCTCTTTACTCCAAATACTTCAAGAACCGTGTCTTTTTACCTCCCAAGCCTCTTGAGCTCTTATGTGGGGCATGCCTCTAACTTTTCCCTCTCATTTCCACAAAAATCAAGAACAGTGTTCTCCATCCAACTCTTCCGTTTTCATTATGAACAGACTCTTCTAGCTCCATGTAGCCAAGGTCTCAGGGCTGTGGCAGCAAGTATTAGTCCCCGGACCCTCTGGAGACCACGCAGCTGAACAGAAGTCACACTGTGTGGACATCGACTGGACAAGGATGCAACTTTTGCATAATTATTAGATTTTTTGCCCCTAAATCCCTTCCCCTTTCAAACTTCCCCTAGCATAATTCTCAAAACGCTGAAATAAACACATTCCACGGGCTTTTTTGCAAGCAGGTTTTAAGTGTCTTAGGAAAGCGCTGTCTTACGGAAAAGCCTAGGCTGTCCACTTGGTTTTCAAGTGCCCTCAAACCAGTCTATTACTCAGACAGAGCGAACATTTGTTAGTCATTAGAGATAAGGCATCTCGTGCTCTGGGGCTGAGGGAAGGGAGAGGCCAACAGAGGACCTGGCTTGGAGGGGAGATAGAGTCCAAAACAACACACCCAAACCGGCCTGTGTTAAAGAGTCGTACTTCCCGAAGTCAACTTCTGGTGCAAACGGAGGGAAACAATGTTTCAATGGGTGCTGAAGTTTAGACGCATCCACAATCCTGCACCCGGGGGAAACTAACCCAGGGACTCCAGGTGAATGAACGAGCGGAGGAATTTGCCAGATTGGGTTACAGAGCCTGTGCAACAACTCCAGGTGCTCAGTTACAGCTCAGTTACAGCTCAGAGACATCTTCCCTCACAGCCTCTGGCCCGGGTGGTGTGCAGCCTGGCATAGATAAGAGGGGAACCAGGAGGAGAGAGAAAAAAGGGGGAGAAAAGGGCCTTGCCCCCAGAGTGTCCAGACCTTAGGTCCCTGAGTGGCCCCTCCCTCAGAGAACCTCGCCCCCTCTCCCCCTCCCCACAAGCCTTCGGCAGCCGGCTGTTACCTCTCTCTCAGGGGCGCCCCAAACACACTCATTCGGGGAGTTGCTTCCGGGCCTTTCTCGCCCTCCTCCTCCTCCCCCCGCCCCCCAACAGTTGTAAGACCATTCCCAGAGGCCCTCGGTGACCCCGGGGAGAAGGCCACCATCTGGCAATCTCAGCAGCTGCTGCCCCAGGAGGAGCAGAGGACACCTGACCGCCGGCGCCCCGCAGCCCCACGCGCACGCCGCCCCCGCGCCTCCCTCCGTCGCCATGGCAACCGTCCCCCTCCCCCCGTGACGCCGGCACGCGGGGCGTCCCCGGGGGGACCCGGCAACAAGTCCCCCCGCGCGCGACCCACGGCCTCCCTTCAGCCCCGGCCCGGCCTCGCCGCCCCGCGCCCGGCCCAGCCCCGCCCGGCCCGGCCGCACTCACTTGATCCTGGAGCCCATGGTCCCCGGGCCTCCTCATGGGCCCGCGGGCCGCTCGGCGCTGCGCTGCTTGCCCGCCCGCCCGCGGCCGACCGGCCTCCCTCCGGCGCTCTCCCCGCCCCTTCCTCCCTTCCCTCAGGCAGGGCCCGCCCGCTCGAGGCTCGCTCCCTCGCCGGCGCCGCCGCCGCCGCGCCTCCCGGGGTTAATGTTCCAGCTCCAGCCCAGCGAACGCCACGGTCCCCGGCGCGCGTGCCCGGCGCGCGCCGCCCCCCGCCGCCCCTCACACCGCCGCCCCCTCCTTCCCGCGCCGCCGCCGCCCGCAGGGGCTGCCGGGAAGTGTAGTCCGCTCCCAGGAGGTGGGGCCGCCCGAGGCGGGGTGTGGGGACCGCACTTCCGCCCACTGGCTCTCAGAGCTCCGTGGATCAGCCCTTCCTGGTGCAGGCCCTTCCAGAGCTCCAGCCCACTGATCTCCTATAGAAAACTCTACCTGCAACCAACCCCCTTGGGGAACCACCCCCCCAATCCCATAGAGACCCCAAGCTCCTCTGAAGAAACCTTCATCCATTCCTCTCTTATGGAGTTCTCCCACCAGTAGCTCTGGTGTTAGAGATGTCTGTCTCCCACTCAGGCCTCCATGAAAACACAAGTTTTCCCTTAGATAATCCCTTACCTTTCAGGAAGTTCCTTAAGGGATCCACAGTCTCTCTTCTCTATCACACCATCCACTTCCTTCCCCAGCATGGTTCCTAATGGTGGCCCCTTTCTCACCCCTTAAGCCTTGAAGGAGACCTCACATACCCATAGGAAAGCCACCTAGGGGTTCATAGGACCTATTTAGTGGTTCTGCTCTGCCTAATCCTTGAGGGTTTTTGTCTCCCTTTGTTAGACATTTGGAGGCTCCTATACAGAAAGCACATGTTACCATAGCAGTCCCTGATACTGATAAAGATTAGCTCAATGCAAATGAAGGTATTTAAGAGTGAAGATCACCAACCTGCTACCTACTTCTGCTTCCCCTCTGGGCTCACTTTCATGCGCACACCAATAGCATCTCCTCTAGGCCTGGAGGAATCACAAAGGAAGCAATAATGACAGCTACCATTAGCTACTGTTCAATGAGTGGGTGACTCTGCGTTCTCCCTGAACCAGGCACATTTCCCCCACACCAATTGGTTTGCACCAATCCTCAAAATAATCTTGGGAGTTTAAACCTCATTTCATAAATGCATTCCACGGTTACCTAACTAGCACAGGTTCAGAAGAGATTGGCATACAGGCTGAATAAGTCCAGACACATGTGACATAACTATGCTTAGAATGATGACACCTTTGGCCATAAGTCAGAAGACATAGTATGTTCATAGTTCACTTTTGAAATCAGGCCTTTCTTTCAACCATTTTCTGTTCTGAAATGCCCTTTGTTCCTTCTGCAATTTAACTTTTATAAACTCAGTGTCTCTCCCGCCCCACAGTCACTGCAGTAACTGGTTCTAGGCCCCAGCCAGACAGGAAGCAAAGAAAGCAAAAAATTCTTCTTTTAGATTTACATTCTGGTTAAAGATCATTTCTCTCTGATGTCTATGCCCTGAGGTTGTTGATGGTAAAAAGATGAAGTTTTTTAATATTAAAACACAAACATTGAAAATCTTCCAAACTGCCATTTTGAATTCAAAGTCTTTTGCACCCAGACACCAACACTGACTTATAAACACCCCCAGGAGCAAAGGTCTACCAGACTGGCAGGGCCTTTGTGGTGTTTATTTACCTTGTTTTCTATGAACCTTCTCCAAGGAATGGTTGTTATCAAGATCTTCCCTGGAATGAGCAGCCAGTTCAAAAGCTCTGTGCAGGAGTCTATAAATACAGTTACTTGGTGAAGGGTAAAGCTGGATGCTTTTCAAAGGAGGTTGTAGCCATCCTGGCCACAAAAATGTCTGAGAGCCTGCTTGAAGGTAGTGGTGTTGGTGGTGTTTGTGTTGATGGTGGTAGTGATGGTGTGTGTGTGTGTGTGTGTGTGTGTGTGTGTGTGTATGTGTGTGTGTGTGTGTAAGATGGGAGTGGAGGTGGCCTCTGAGACTACAGGGTGGTCTGGGGAGAGAGCATTGAACTGGAGTCTGGCTTCTGATGTTGTGTGCACCACGGACTAGCAGAGACATTTTAAGTATTAGGTATACTAGCTGCTAATGCAGATTTTGTAATCAAAGAAAGCACAATAATTTCCAGAGAAATATCAAAAGTGCTGTATTCAAAATAATGTCCAACACTAGCTACCCATTTCCCCCACCTTTCAGGTAATTTGTGGATACCGTCCCAATAGAACTTTTCTTGCTTTGAGGCAAACCATTCAGAGACCCAATTTTCCACTTCTTTGTACATTTTGAAGTGCTGCTCAGAAAGTGCGGGTGCCATCGATAGGAACAAGTGGTAATCTGAAGGAGCAGGGTCTGGTGAATACAGCAGGTGGGTTAATACTTCCCAAGCAAGATCTTTTAACATGTCTTTAACTGGTTTTGAAGTGTGTGATGGTGCATTATCATGAAACAAAATTTCTTCGCAGTGTCTCCTGGAACATTCTGGTCGTTTCACAATCAAAGCATGGTTCAAACTGATTATTTGTTGTTGGTAGCGATCGGTATTAATGGTTTCCCTTGTGTGTGTCTTTTAATTTTTTTTCATTTCTTTATTGATTAAGTTATTACATATGTGTCCTTATCTCCTCCCCCCCATAACCTCCCCATCCTCCCCTCTCATGCCTTCACCCCCCTTTTGTCTGTGTCCATTGGTTAGGCCTATATGCATGCATACAAGTTCTTTGGTTGATCTCTCGTCCTTATCCTAAGGTGACCAGATGTCCTGATTTTTTGAAAGAATAAATCAGGACTGTCCCTCCAAAAGCGGGACATCTAGTCACCTTACCTTACCCCCACCCTCCCCTTCCTTCCCTCTGAGTTTGACAGTCTGATCAATGCGTCTCTGGTTTTAGAAGCTCATAATACACCACACCTTCCTGATTGCAGAGCACTGTCTTCTTTTTGAAGTGATTTGGCCTTGCAGTCGATGTTGATGGTTGACCTGGATCAACCCATGATTTTGTGCATTTGGGGTTCTCAAAATAAATCCACTTTTCATCACCAGTCACAATTCAATGCAAAAAACACTTTCTTTCGTGCCATTGAAGCAACATTTTACTGATGACTTTTGTTTTCCATTTGTTTTCCATTCAGTTGATGTGGCACCCATTTTCCTTCCTTTAAAATCTTTCCCATTGCTTGTAAACAATCAGAAATTATTTGCTGAACAATGTATAATCTTTCTGCAAGCTGTTTTTGAGTTTGACATGCATCTTCATTCAATAATGCTTGTAATTGTTGGTCTTCAAACTTTTTTGGTTGACCTGGACATTCTTTGTCTTTCACATCAAAATCATCACTTTTAAAGCATTTAAACCAGTGTTTACAAGTATCTTGAGATGGAGCATATTCACCATAAGCTTCCTGAAGTATTCAGCGTCACTTTTCTTCAAAATAAAGTAATGAATTAAAACTTCCCACAAATGTTCTTTTTTGGGGGATGAAATTCAATATTTTTAAGCATAAAAATATCTATGAAAAAACTTCAGCAAATTTGACATCTGAAGTTTTGAACTTCAACATATGTGTAACTCCACCTATTAAAAAAATTCCACATTATTAACTGGTGCACCTAGGAAATAATTAGACAATTGTCTTCTTCAGTTTCCTCCTTGATAAAATGGGTATAAAGGATGACGAAGAGCTCACATCATAAGATAGAATATAATGTGGGAGCTAAGAGTGCAGGCCGTGGAACCAGACTGGTTGGGCTGAGCCCCATCTCTTACTAAAATAAATGTGCCCTTGGGTAAGTTATTCACAATCTCTGTGACTCTGTCTGTAAAATGGAAATTATAGTAGTAGATCTATCTTGATATGAGAATAAAATGAGTTAATGACACTCATCAAGTACTTAAATAGTGACTGGGACATAGTGAGCACTCAAAAATTATCAGCAACTATTATACACAAGATACTTAGCAGTTTGGGTTTTATCATGAATTAGAGGTTCGATGCATGAGATTCATGCAAGGGGCTCGGCTCTGGCAGCCCCAGCTTCATCTAGAAGGTCATCTGGAAGGTCATCCAGATGGTCATTCAGCTGTTCGGCTATCCAGTCAAATTAGCATATTATGTTTTTATTATTATAGTCATAATCTTCATAATAAATAGTCCTATACTTGGATTCAGAGACCTGAGTTTCCACCCCAGAATGTAACTGTTTCCATTCTGAATCAGAGAGAATTCAGTTCAATGTAAAGGACAGAAGACTGAGATTACAGTAACTGAAAAATTAGAAGTTTATTTCTCTTCCACATTAGGTCTGGAGATGAACATTCTAAGGCTGGCATATCAATTCCATAATGCCTACTCTCAGATATGAAGACTTTGGAACAGGACAGGGCAGCTGATTTGGCCTTGTGGTTGGGTATATTGTGCATCAGCTTATACCTGTTCTATACCTGTCACACTGTGACCTCCTTGAGATCGATGACTCCAAATTTTTTGTTATTACTCTGCTCTCCTCCAAATGCAGCTTCCACCTCCTGGTCCAGGATGGCTGCTTGAACGCTAGCTATCTAATTCACAACCAAGAAGCCGCAAAAGGAAATAGGTCATGCCCCACGCCGACCCTAATCTTTAAGGATACTCCCGTTTACCTTCCATTGGCCAGAGCAGGTCATACAATCACATCTCGCTAGGAAATAGAGCCTTTATTGCAGCTAATTATGTGCACAGTTCCAGGGGTGGTGAGTCTTTTCAGAGAATTAGGGAGGACAGATACTGGAAGACAGCTAGCAGTCTCAGCTAAGCCATCCTTGGCTATGTGACCTTGAGCAAGACACTGTCTTAGGGCCTCAGTTATCCTATATCCAAAGTAAGAGAATCAGACCAGACCTCTGTCCAAAGTCCTTTTCAGGTATAGAATGCTACAATTTCAGTGCTTGT